TGATTTTTGCTGTTAAGTTAGGCATTTCTATATGGGATTTGAATCCAATGTTGGTTAAGTTTGGAAATATAGTTTCAAAACATTAATATTTTCGTGTTTTTTAAAAATAAATTTTCCATTTTGAGATAAATTTATCTACAGCAAAATTTTAAAGATGCTACAGAGAGTTTCCTATACCCACCAACTAGTTTCCTCTAATTGTTAGCATCTTACATCACCATAGTTCTTTTGTCAAAACGAAGAAACCAACTCTCATAATTACTATTTTCTAAGTTTCACACTCTACTCAGATTTTACCAGTCTTTGTACTAATGTCTTTTCTCTATTCCAGGATCCCATCCAGGATATGTTACATTTAGTTATCACATTTCCTTGGTTTTGGTAATAGTTTATTAGTCTTCCTTGTTCTGCATGACCTGTTTAGAGGAGTATATTCTGGTACACTAGTCGAGTAGTTTATAAAATGACCCTCAATTTGGGTTTTTCTGATGTTGCTCTCCATAACTTCTTATTGAATTTCATCTAAGCAGAATTTTATCCAACTGCCTTCTGTAAGTTGCCTGGGTTTTACTATAGAAGAGTGCATTAAAAATAGGTTCCAGTAAGAATCACAGATAATTAAATAGATCTTGGTAATTAAATTACCCCATACTTTTCATATAATTCCTTGCTGTGGAAAGGCTAAGTACCTTATAGATGCTATTTCCCCATATCTCAATACATCACTATTAATTTAGTAGCAACTGCTAGGCTTCATTTTCTAATCTTTAATAGAAGAACCACATGAACAGCAGAGAAGTGTACCCAATTTAGTGCATATAAGATGTATGGTGTTTAGAATGAATCTATATTGTAAATATTAATACATCAATTGGTTATCCAACTATATAATGATTTTACTTCTCAAAAATAGCATTTATATTTTAATAAATGTTCCATGCAAAAAAATGGATAAATCTAGTTAAATTTAGTAAAGCATAGTATAAGTAAAATTAATTTAGCTTTTAAACTGAATTATTTAATTGATAGTACAGTTAAAATAAAAATAAAGGAGTGGGTGGGACCTAACTGTCACCCATTCCTCTCTCTCTCTCTCTCTGTCACTCTCTCTCTCACTCTCTCATATACTCATGATTACTTAGTGCAGTGGTCGACAAACTCATTAGCCAACAGAGCCAAATATCAATAGTACAACGACTGAAATTTCTTTTGCAAGCCAAAAATTTAAACTTCTTCTAAAGCCACTTCTCCAAAATAAACTCACCCAGGCCATGGTATTTTGTGGAAGAGCCACACTCAAGGGGCCAAAGAACCACATGTAGCTCGCAAACCGCAGTTTGCCAACCACTGACTTACTGGAAGCTTGATTAAACATGAAAATTATTCACAGACAGCAAAAGAGAATGATTATTATATTATTGGAAAATTTAGAACTTAATTTCAAAAATACTAAAAACTTGTTCAATTAAATGACCATTAGTCTGGGCACGGCTCAATTATAAGAAATAAAAATAGATTTCTTTCCTAAATAAAGATTTAATGAGAAATACCGTGTGACAGAATTAAACAAGATCAAGAAAGATTCATGCATTAGTACAGCTCACAATCATTTCTGTGTATGTTAGGAAACTCATCTTCTCTCTACATTATAACTTCCAGGACAATCATGTGGAATCAGGGTAGTGATGAGGTCTGAAAATAAAAGTTGCTCTTGCACAGATCCTCATGTGAGCTCATTCATCTTTCACAGGAAGCAGCTTGGTTAATAACAAACTTTTACAACACCCTTGAAATGCAGGACACCAGTAGAGAAAACACGACAATACTCAGTAGCCTTGCCAATGTGTTCCAGTTAGTCCTGCAGAGGCCAGTGACTGCTGTACAAATCTGAGGCAAAGGCCCTGAAAGAGTTTGTGCGTGCCAGAACCGCCTACATTTTTATAATTCATGCATTTCAAACCTCAGTTAATTTTAGTACTTTCCAATTGTGCATTTAATACACTGTACCAAAATATTTCCTGTCAAAATTCCATTATCTTCTCATTATTGGGGCAATAAGAAATGAACACACTCATATCAATTTTTATGCTAGAAGACACAATAAGTACTTTTCAGGAGACTCTTGCATTTTGGGGGGCCAGAATTAAATCTGATATTTAAGGAACATTTTATACAAAATGTAACAGAAAACAATGTAGAACTGATATGTCATGCCTTACTCTGTGTTCTAACAGTACTTTGCATATATCTCACAGAAGTTTTCTTCTTGTTTTGGATTAGTTTAAAACTTATGAAATTGTAGATCAAAATCATCATCTTGATCTACGAAAATAATAAATTTCCTATGGTTTAACTTCTTAGTTGTATATGCACTTGATTTGTTCACCAATTGTAAGCAACTTGAAGGTACAAGATCATATATTATGTCTTTCTATCTCAAGAACGTAGCATGCAAGACTGACAATTAGTGAACAGAATAAATAGTTGTTACATTTAAATGAAAGGACGAGGAATTAAACTCTCAGAATTTAATATGTGTAAAATCAATCGGTAAAGTAAAGAATGTTCCTTTACTGCCCTGGGATGTATGTCCCAGGAAAGGACAAATACCCCATTCAAAAAAACAAACAAACAAACAAACAGCTGAGGGATTTTGTTTATTCCTTAATTTTCTGCATTTTTAAGTTATGTTTACACAATGGGAGATATTTAGATGACTGACATGTATTTTACTCTTCATGAGTAAGTTTTCATGGGTAGATGCAGGTTAAAACTGAAACATATCGACAGCTATAGAATTTCTAGTCTTTTTACAGACATTATACACCATACACATGAAAACGATTCCAGTCCTTTTAGCTGTGATGGCCTAATAAATGCAAGAATCCCTGCATCTCAAAATTTACAATGTGTGAAGTGTTGTATTAATTTTAAAAGGATAAATAAGTCAAACACCCTTTTCATTATGTCAAAGGAAATAAGATATAGACACCCCCTCCCACCCCCGCCGAGAAAAAAATGCAAAGATTGTGATTTAAGAAACTGGAAATTGCTCAAACTATTTTTCTATTTGTAAATAATATCCTAATCGTCACAGGCTTTTGAAAATAATACTCCTGGTATTATTTGTTGCCTGTTCATCTGCATGGCTTTCTATCTAAGCAAAACCTGCCTTTCCATAGCTGGTAACATGGCTTGTTCAGGGGGTGGAGAGACCAATCTGGGGCTCAGGGCAGTGCCAGCCAAGAGAATGCCCAACCCAAATGCCTAGTAAGGGATTGCCAGCCCTGGAGCGCTAACATGGGAACTTTCTATTTTGGGGCATTGGGACACATTCCAAGAACCATGAAAGCTACCATTCTTGGGGCTCGCAATGTGTATATCCCACATGTAATGCCTTGTAACAGCCCTGCAAAATAAATATTGTCATATTTATTAGTACATGCTTGCCTGGCGTTGGACTAGAGAGTGTGCTGTGGTCTCATTAAGCTTAGTATTCGGGAGACATGAAATAAGTAATAACTTCCCAAATAGCTATTGTCCAGCAGTGACAAGGTACCAGGCTAATGGAATAGCACCTGAGGGTGGCTGCTCTTAGGATAGAGTGGTCAAAGAAGGCCTATCTGAGGAGGTGCCATCTGAACAGAGCCCTGGAGATGCTGATACTTGAGAGAATGATGGAACAGCAAGGATGATGCCCTCAGGTGGTACTTTGGAAATGCTCTGACATGGCACCCGAGTGGTGGGATTTAATCAGAAAGTTTTCCTGTTAATTTACTTGCAATCAGATTATGTCCAACAAAATCACCTGAAGTCTCCCAGGTTACACTCTGGGGACTTCTTCCATATTTATGTTCACCTCCCAAGAAGGGCACTTCCTGCGGGCAGAGGAAAACATGAGGAAGTGAAGCCTGAAATGCCTCACAGGTTGCCGGTTCAGCCACTGTAGACAAGTGTGACTCCGCTTCCCAGGGCGTCATGGCCCTGCTGAACCTGGATGGGGCTCCTGGTCTCCCATTGAGCTCTGCAGTGGCCTCTGGAAATCCAGAAAACCACAGAAGGGCTGACCTTGATCAGACAAAGAGCCTTCCATATGTCAAGCAGAGAAGGGGAGCTCTGCCTTGAACCTGGGTTCTCATCCATTTGTAGCAAGATTCACATGCCTGTGGAGTCTGAGGCAGTGGGTCCGACCTATGCTTTTTTTTTTTTTCTCAAATGAGGACCCACACCTTTTTTTTTGGGGGGGGGGGGGATATAAAGACCAATAAAATATGTTAATTTCTCAGTTGGGTCAATTCTCCAGTAGGGTCAATTCTCAGACCAGTTTCAGTCTGGTCCGCAGAGACCAGGTTGAGAGTTCCCACTGGTACACGAATCCACGCACCAGGCCTCCAGTAAAGAAATAAAGTAATGTGTCCAGAAGCTCAGAACTGGGAAATGCTGTAGTTGGGATAATGAACCTAGAATGATTGGAGTCAGAGGCTGCTGTTGTAACCATTTTGGATAGAGAAAAATTACCTGTTCAGGGTAAGTTTTTAGGAGGCTGTTAGTCATTTTTTAAAAGTCAGCTCATCCAACCAGAATTTCTACATAAAGTGAAATATCATTTGTCAAATCTCTGTTTCACAGTGGGCTACAGCTAGCACGCCTCCATATTCCTTCAAGCACTCAAATCCGGTATGTTCTCTTATGTTCCCCTCCAGGTTTCCAAAGCCACCTTGTTCCTGGAATGTGGGATCTGCCCCTCGCTGTTACTGCCTTTGCAACAGCTTATTGGAAACAAACAAGCATGGGGGAATTGAGCAAGAACTTCTGGGACATCAACCTTGGAGAAGAAGCAAGGAATGTAGGATGCATGTTGACCGTCCAAACAGGACAGAGATAATGATTAATCGAATCCCCTGCAGGTTTAAATGAGATGGGAGCTGCGAGTGAAGGCAATCCTCTTTTCTTGCAGCTGGAGTGCTGCTCCTCCTGAGCCAACCCCTCCCCCCTCGGAAATGATGTGTTCCATGTGGATTTTCTGCCTGGTCCTGAGCGTGGCGGGCACAGTGTGGGTATGGTGCCTTTATTTCTCTTCTTGCCTTCTCTCCGGTGCTTATTTCACAGAGCTCGCAGGTCTGAGTCAGCGTTCTGCATGTCCTCACACACTGTTGGCTCTCCCAGCCGTAGGCCATGAAGGCAAGTTCCTAGATGGGCCAAACATCTCAAGAGGACAGGGCAATATGACCCTAAGAGGGAGGCTTAGAGGGCACAAAGTGTATAAATTCACAGGGGAAGCTTTAACATTTGTAGCTCAAGCTTACAACATGTTTTTTAAAGGAAAGATATTTTTGCTACAAAGCCTTGAGAATAGTTAATGCTAGTTAACATAACAAAACATTCACATACGTTTTTAAAACCTATTACTATAATTTATTTATCTATTTATTTATTTATTTATTGCTATTTGTTCAGAATAAGCAGAACAGTGGTTTAATATAGTTTTGTTTTTCTGAAAGGTAGTTTTTGTGTTTCTTTTAAGACAAATACAAAACAAATTAGTTATTATTGCAAATATATTACAAAGCAAAGCCAGGAGAGATTAATTAATAAGGCAATTTAGTCTGGGGAAGCAATTATATTCTTTTAAGTTAATGACTAAATGCTGTAATAACTTCTAACGTTTGACTCCATAAACCTATAGAAAAGAAGAGAAATTTTATTCAACAAGGCTTTTGAAACACTTTAATCTTACAAAAACATGATAAATATAGGCTGTGAATTATTCGCATTTATTTCTTTTTCTTCATCACTCACAAATCTGAATACCAGAGCAGAAAAAAACCAAAGAGTGTTTCTAACTTAATTTTCTCCCTTATAGTAAAATAATAAGTAAACATTTTTATGGGAAATAAAACTAACATCATTTGCTGTGATGATGTTTTGGATAATGTATAACTTTCAGTTATTTCTCCCTATTATTGGCATACATATTTAATTTTTCCCTGCTTGCATTGTGTGCATTTTATTCTCAAGTATATTTGCACTTATAATTTTATTTCTTAGACAAAAAGATTATACTTGTTACTTTAAATAAATTGTTCTTAATGCCTGAATTAATATTACCATTATTGGGATATTTTTTAATGAGATGACAAATGTTAACTAATTATAAAAATAAACTGAGGTTAAAATAGCAAAGTCCTTGTAAGCTGGTGGTACATAGTAAATATAGCTAAAATCTAAAATCTTCATTGATTTGTTGGGATATAAAGTCTTTTTGGAAGAATACTTTTATATCTTATTTCACCTAAAGATCACAATAGAAACATTTTTAAATCTGTGTTTCTATTATAAGGTGTTCAAAAAGTTGTCAGTCATGGACCATCATTTTTACTTTCACTCTACTTTTCCTCATTTAAAACACAAAGAAACTATTACATGAGTGAGCAACCTAAAAAGCATGTCTGAGTTTAGTTGAACTGGTTACATGTGTGTCCTTGGAATATATTTGCTCAAATAATGGACCCATAAGGTCATAGTAGAAACTTAAAGGCGAGACAGACATTAAGCCAAGATAGTGTAGGCTTTTTCCTACAGGAAAAAGGAATTATAGGAGGAAGAACCCTTTGAATTTTCCAATTATCTATGTCCAGAGATTGATGAAAAAGAAAAGGTAAATTTTAACCAATTTTGTTGCTTCAAATAATTGACCTCTTATAATAGAGCTTTGAAAAGGACTACCATTTAATAACTGCTTTGGTATCAAACACAGCTAAGAAATTTGTTCAACTTATCTCCTTTAATTCTCACAACTTCATAAAATGGGTTATTGGGATTTTCATTAAAAAGATCAGAAATCTGAAGCTTGTAGAGGCCCTGATGCTGGCGCTCCTAACCCCTGGAAATGCTCCTCCTCTTCTTAGGGTTAACAGTGTCTTTCCCTTATCTTCTCGCTGTTCCTTTCTTTCGTGTCTGTAAATGAATCCTTAAAGACTGCAGAGACCAATGAAGGTGAATTTTTAGCTGCTGGAGGAGGTGTGCGTGGCCCCAGAATTACCGAAAGACAGCAATCTGCCTGCAAAGAGACAGACTGGCCCTTCTGTGCTGATGAAGACTGGGTGAGCACTGGCATGGGGAAAGGGAGACTCCTTCATTGTGTTAGAAACATACACAGGCTGACCCATGAGGTCAAAGAAAACTTTTCCAATGGAAGTAATCGAATAGTTTATTACATGTCAAATGAAAAAAAAAAAGACAAATGAAAAGGAACCTAGTTCTGAGAGCACAATTTAAATTTCCTCCATGCTCTGGTCATTAGTAGGTTAAGGCATTGGATTTTAGTTGTCTATTCGGATAGATATTAGAAATTTTAATATTATGGCCTCGGGATTTCATGGGGCCTAATTTATGATGGAGGGGCCTCTCTTCTCAGAATATTTTTATGATCTCTACCTAGTTCTCCTAAATTACTTTTAAATTAAAGGATGATCTGAAGAGATTGAGGAGGGGAGCAATAGGAGCTGCATGGAAACCTTCAAAATTGTACTGAATCCAAGAAATAGGCCCTTAATGTAATGTTTATCTCTTCATTTTCAGATCCAAAAATGCCCTTCCGGCTGTAGGATGAAAGGGTTGATTGATGAAGTCAATCAAGATTTTACAAACAGAATAAATAAGCTCAAAAATGCATTCTTTGATTATCAGAAGAACAATAAGGACTCTAGTTCACTCACCAGGAATATAATGGAACTTTTGAGAGGGGATTTTGCTAGCTCTAACCGTAAGTATTACATATTTGGTGCTTTGATTTTATAACACACAGCAAATCAATAACATTAAACATTCTAAATATGGTGTCTCCTTATAGCAACTGAGATTTCATTCCAAAATATTTGGGGCAGAAACACATACCCTTTAGATATAGCTGAATTTTTAAGGAGGAGCTTGCATAATGTCAAAAAGAGTCGTTTAATGTAAGTCAGAATTTTGGATTGAAGGCTAGAATTTAAGTGCTTTCTTTTCAAAGGTACATACTGAAAATAAGTTGGGTAGACATATTGGCTTCTCTCTTACAGAGGAGGAAGCAGAGTGGTCAAGGAACTTGTTTGAATACCCAAAGCTGTCATGTGATGGAGTTGGGAGTTCCACCCATAGACTTTACTAAGCAGATTATGCAGTTTGCTGTTTGTTTTTAATTAAAATTATATAGCCATATTCCAGCTTTCATACAGAACAAGAGCTAGGCCACACTAGGACCAGGAAGCATTGGGTTTGCTCTGGGCCTGGGCACTAAGTGTAGTGAAACCCCAGGTCCTAAAGCCTTGCTTGGCTCTTTATAGCTTCAGGAGACACTGTACTAATTTAAAGTCAACAGTGCAACATAATTGGCAAGAGAGTGGTCCTGCTGAACTAAAACATCACAAAACAAAAAGTTTAGGAAAAATTTAAAGTCCATAGATAGGAAGAAAACCTTAGTAATAAAATCAAGAAACACAATTCCCAGTACATCATGTTCAGCTTTCAAGAAAAAAAAAATTACAAGGCAAAAAACACATTAAAGAGGCAGAGCAAGTCTCAAAACAAGACATGACGAGGGTGTTGGAATTATTAGACTGGCAATTTAAATCAAATATGATGAAGATGCTAAGGATTATAATGAATAAAGTAGAACATGGGCAATATAAGTAGAGAAATGGAAATCCTAAGAAAGAACTAAAAAGCAGTGTTAAAGATAAAAAAAAAACACACACACAAAAAAACCCAACTGACAGAGTGAAGAATGCCTGTGATAGGCTCATTAGGAAACTGGGCATGGCTAAGAGGATATATTAATAGAACCCTCAAAAACCTATACACTCAATTTATACATTAGTCCAAAATTATAAATGCACTACAACAAGAGTGAACCCTAAGATAAACTACTGCCTTTGGGTGATTATGATGTATCAATGTAGGCTCATACTTAGTTAAAAAAAAGTAAAGACCATTATGATGAGTGATGTTGATCATGAGAAGCACTATGCATGTTTAGGGGCAGTGGGTATAAGAAAAATCTCTGTACTTCTTCTTGGAAACCTAGAACTGCTCTAAAAAAATGAACAATTGATACATATAAAAATAAATAAAAATAGAAAGTTGTGTGGGGGAAATAAAGAAAATCCAGGAACATGTTCAAGTCCTATGAGTAAGGATAAGATAATTGGAATATGATCAAATCAATTATTTTTTCTATTAATTATCTTTAAAATTCCAAAGAGATTTTCTTCTGCAGTTATTTGGAATTCTAATTGCTGGTAGGGTACCCTAACTGATATCCATAAATGACTACAGGACATAACATTGCCCAAAAATCAAACGCCTAATAGCTTTGCAACTCACAAATTAAATACTCAGATAACTATTATAAAAGTAACATGGGGAATATTTCTAAATAAATTTTCTTCTTTTACTGGCTATTTCAAGCAAATCACTCAGTAGCTGCTTCAATATCCACATTTTCTATTTCAGACAATGATAATACATACAATCAAGTGTCAGAAGATCTGAGAAGCAGACTTGAGACCCTGAATCGCAAAGTCACAGAACATGTACAGCTTATCCAACTTCTGCAGAAAAATGTCAAGGATCAGCTGGTAGAAATGAAGCGACTGGAGGTAAGAAAGTGCATGGCTTTGTCACCAGATTTCCTTATTTTGGATAGTAGGAAAATGGGAGGCGATGGTCATTCACTGAATGCCTATTATCCATAGAGCTTTGTGTTCTATATTTCCCTTATCTAACTATAAAGTATTATTCCCCCTCTCTACACGTGGCAAAAAATAAAGCTCAGTGATATTAAGTAAAATTTCCCAGGGCACACAGATAATAAATTTCAAAATCAAATATTCAGTCCTTGCTTATCTTATTCAAATTCCTGATACTGCCAAGCTTCCAAGTCCTCAGCCTCCCTCCCTGAAGATCACTTTCCTTTCACAGGAAATAGCAACTTGCTCTTGATCTGTTCTAAGATAAATCCAAATAGTCTCTATTGCTTCTCTTGGCTAGCCTAACAACACCCAGCATCTCGTCCACTGAGGATACCACAAAAATGAGTATGGGTTGGTAGGTCTCCAGTTCAAAGAAATGAAAACCATTTCCAAGAAATACACTAACTACTAAGAACTCAATAGACATCTTTTATTTTTTTTAGATCTACCTTTCTTTCCTTATCTGTCTCCTCCTTTCTCTAGGTGGACATTGATATTAAGATCCGATCTTGCCAAGGGTCATGCAGCAGGGCTGTAGCACGTGTGATAGATCTGCAGGACTACGAGGATCAGCAGAAGCAAGTTGAACATCTCATTGCCAAAGACCTACTTCCGCCTAAATATAGACAAAGCCTACCACTGTTAAAGATGAACCCATCTTTAGATTTGGTTCCCAGAGAGTCCAAGATCCAGCTTCAGGCAGCCCCTCCAGAGTTTAAGGCACTCATGGAAATGCGGCAGATGCAAATGACCTTAGAGAGGTCTGGGACAGATAAGAATCCCCGAGGAGACTCTGCCTATCGTGGAACAGGATCAACACCTGAAAGCCCCAGAAAACCTGTACCTGGTAGTGGGAATCCGAGACCTGGGAGCTCTGGACATGGTGGTGCTGGTACTTTGAACCATGGAAGTTTTCGGCCTGAAAGGCCAGATGGCACAGGGCATGGCAACACCAGGCCTGCCAACCCAGACTGGGGCACATTTACAGAAACTTCAGAAAGTGTAAGTCCAGGGACAAATAAAGAGTACCATCACACAAGAGAACTGGGCACTTCCGAAGGAGGTAAAGAGCTTCTCATTGGTGGAGAGAAGGCTACCTCGGGTGGCCTAATCACCAGGCGCAGTTCATGCTCTAAAACCGTTACTAAGACCACCATCGGTGCTGATGGCCGCAAGCAAGTGACGAAAGAAGTGGTCACCTCTGAGGATGGTTCTGACTGTGGGGACACAACTGGTGTAGACTCGTTCCATACAACTAGGGATAGCTTTGACGAATTCCGTCGTAGGCACCCTGAAGAAGCTGCTTTCTTTGAGACTGACTCAACTGGGAGAATAATCCCAAGTTTGTTGTCACCTGGGTTAACAGAGTTTGAGACCCACTCTCTGGGCTCAGCATCTGACATTTTCAGAGACTTAGAGGAAACCAGCTCTCACCTCCACGTCAGCGGAACTCATTCCACCAAGAAAGGCCGATCTAGACCTCGCAAAGCCAGAGGTATCCGCCCTTTTTAGACTAAATTATTCTTGCAGTGTGCTCCCATAGCACCTTGCACTTCTTTCCTAGCCCTCTTTCATGCTTTATTAAAATTATCTTTTTTGGTTTGTTTTTCATGCTGAACTGTAAATTCCAGGGGTCAGGGACTTTGTCTATCATGCTCATCTCTGTATCCCAAACACCTACCAGTGCAGAAGGTCACCATTCAATAAATATATGTTAAACGAATCCCTCTGAAACTCGATTTTGAGTTTGTTTAAGCTAATTATTTTACCCTTCAAAATATGCGTTGCTGGAATTGTTACCCAATTTATTTGACCGTATTGGTTGGAGTGGCTCTCAGTTGAAATGAGATTAGGTTAAAGACAGTTATATTAATGCTAAACGTTGCTTAGATATCTTTGCTGGTTACTTGCTATTAATCAGTACGTGCAAGTAAAAGTTGAAATCCATTGAGGAAATCCCCTTTGCAATTTGTAGGTATAAGTGCCTCTCATTTGCTTAGGATTCATTCTGGTGTAAAAGCATGTTTTCTCCATGGAGGGAAGGAAGGAAAGAAAGAAGAAAGAAAGGAAGCAAAAAGGCAGGAGGAAAGAAGGGAGGAAGGCAGGGAGGGAGGGAGGGAAGGAAGGAGGGAGGGAGGAAGAGACGGAGAAAGGAAGGAAGGAAGGAAGGAAGGAAGGAAGGAAGGAAGGAAGGAAGGAAGGAAGGAAGGAAGGAAGGAAGAAAAGAAGGGAAAGGAAGCCAGTATTTACCTTCATTTAATCTGGGCCTTTCCTATCTTTGTAAAATTAAATGAGAGTAACTTCTTCCAACCAGCTTAATTTTTCTTTTAGACTGTGATGATGCCCTCCAAACACATCCTTCAGGTGCCCAAAGTGGCCTTTTCAATATCAAGCCACCGGGATCCAGTAAGATTTTTTCAGTTTATTGTGATCAAGAGACCAGTTTGGGAGGATGGCTTTTGATCCAGCAAAGAATGGATGGATCACTGAATTTTAACCGGACGTGGCAAGACTACAAGAGAGGTTTCGGCAGCGTGAATGACAAGGGGGAAGGAGAATTCTGGCTAGGCAATGAATACCTCCACTTGCTAACCCTGAGGGGCTCTGTGCTTCGGGTTGAATTAGAGGACTGGGCCGGGAACCTGGCTTATGCAGAATATCATTTGAGGGTAGGCTCTGAGACAGAAGGCTATGCCTTGCAGGTCTCCTCCTACAAGGGCACGGCGGGCGATGCTCTGATTGAGGGCTCCGTGGAGGAAGGCACAGAGTACACTTCTCACAATGGCATGCAGTTCAGCACCTTTGACAGGGATGCAGACCAGTGGGAAGAGAACTGTGCGGAAGTCTTTGGAGGAGGCTGGTGGTACAACAACTGCCAGGCAGCCAATCTCAATGGCATCTATTACCCTGGGGGCTTCTATGACCCCAGGAACAGTCTTTATGAGATTGAGAACGGAGTGGTCTGGGTTCCCTTCAGAGGAGCAGATTATTCCCTCCGGGCTGTCCGCATGAAAATCAGGCCCCTGGTGACCCAATAAACAGAAAGAATGGAAGTGAGAGCACTCCGTTTTGTTTAGCCAAGTGGAGGAAAAATAAGGAAGATGGAGGAGTCAAGATTCCTTACAACCGAAAAAATCCCCTGGTGCTATTTTATTATTCTTTGTACTGTAGCTAAATGTAACTGAGTCATATTAGTGCTTCAAAAAAATAAAGTTGTGTGATTTTTTTTTGGTAAATCTTTCAACTAGCTCTGTGAGTTTTAAAATTTCTGTAAGGGTACACACCAAGAGACATTAGTACATCAGAAAGAGGGACTCAAATAAGAGTTCCTCTCTGTAACAGTGTTGTTTGGAGAGCTTCAAAGTCATAGGGCTATTGCAAAAGAAAGAAGTTATTCCATCCAGGCCATTCGAATGACTTTAAACTAATATTTTTAATTTTCAAAGCACTCAATTTAACAATGGTTGGCTTTTGTAAAGGAATTGACCAAGTTCTTTTATCTTTTCTGTTAGTAAGCAAATCCATGCTGGCAGGAGAGCCCTTCTTCCCTAATAGAAATAGATATCTCTTCATTAAGGTTTCAATGAAGACCACAATACACACTTATCCCCCCCCCCCAAGAGTCTAATCAATTTCTTAAAAAAAATACCTGGAAAACACATTTAAATTTTAAAAAAATATATCTTTCCAAAAGAGATGGCATTTACAATTGACAATTTCCACACCATTCATCTCAGTTTATTTTCTACTGATTATAAACTATAGCCTGTGATACATTAGTTGTTATTAAAGTAAAACAATTTGTTTGAAAGCATCTCACTAAATATGATTTATACTCTTCAAAAATTCAACGTATTTACATTGATCAATATTTTATTTTGATCTAAGTTGCTTCTTTGATCTTGGTGGCCTCAGCTCCTGCTCCAAATTTTTAACTCATATTTTCTTTTAGTGAGAACTACTTGCCATTTATTTCTGAAAATATATAAAAACATCCCAAACACATTGGAATCCCAGTACATTGCCCTCAATTGCATAGTTTCTATCACAGTGTAACTGCATCCTTTCTCCTTGGTGAGGAAAGGAGGGAGGAAAGAAGAGAGAGAAGAAAAGAGGAAGAGAGGGAGAAAGGGAGAGGAGAGAGGAAGGAAGGGAGGAAGGAAGGAAAACTAAAAAGGAAGCTGCTTACGACTAGGGACCAGAGCATGGGGAGCAGAGGCAATGTGAGCATAAGAACTTGCAAATGAGTTACATATGAAGCCCAATATTCTTGCATTTTCTTATGTGAAATTAAAAATCCTTGCTACAAATCAGTGATACCTCCAAATCTTTGGATACTTGGTTAAGAACTTCAGAATCAAAAGAACCTTCATTTATTTCAGACAATGAAGTTGCCTGTTATACCTATGCCTACATGTTGACACTCACACATATGGAGCAGGAAGAGTTTTATTTTTTTAGAATATCACACTATTAGGGACAGAATCAGGTCCTAAAATGAAAGTGACTCTGTATGTGAAGGACTATGCATTTCTCATTTATTTTGAAGGCTTTGTGTTTATTAGCAAAGAACAGGCAACTTCTTTTAATTTAATAAACAATAGCCAATATCAGCACAATCATGAAAGTAGAGATACGATACCGAATATCTCTTTTCCATTTTATCTTATCGTTAACCTATTGCCCTATTTTCTTTGTTCCTGAAGTTAAATATCAATTCAACTTTTTTGGTTCACATTCACAAAGAAGCCCACTATAACTTGGTTTTCACTTGGTTACCATTCTCTTGAAATTCTTCTCCTTAAAGTCAACAATACTGTCATAGCACTAAATTTAAAATCCTACAGTCAAGCCCCTTCCTGCCCGACCTCCCTGAAACATCTGCTACTATAGTCCCCATCCCTCTCTTCAACCTGTGATTTCTTTTGTTTATGGTGTTCCACTCCCAACGGTGTCCTTCCTCAGCCTGTTTAACTGGCCAATTCATTCTTAGATGACTCCTTAGGCCCTCATAGTTCTTGTTCATATCTCAAAAATAACAGTCAATCCCAAACTCTAACGTGTTTGTTATTATGGCACTAGATTGTGAATTCATTTAGGCATTTATGTAATGTTTCCTGCCCTACATGAGAATGTCTCACATATTTCAACAGATAAGTTTTAAAAGTTTCTTTAAATTTTTAAAATTTATTTTACATTTAAAGATTGATCTAGAATTTATCTTCATATGTCAGGAAAACCTATTTCTGTGTTGTTGGGGATGGATAGCCAGTGATGCTTCTCAGATCTTCTGAGGATCATTTATTAAAGGGTTCTTTGCCAGTGGAATTGAAATTCAATGTTGTTGAATAAAACTTGGATCCATCTGTAGACTCTCTCATGCGCTTATATTGCCTTGCTCATCTTTAAAGTATAGCTTTTGGATGAAATGCTCAGTGCTCTCCCTCTTACATCTCCACTTTCTCTCTCTCTTTTTTCAGCCTTAGAACAGTTTGACCTTCTTTTTCTACTTTGTTTGTTTGTTTGTTCTATGGATTACTTAGAGCAGCCTTTAATTTCCAATTAATTATTTTTTTAGGGGGTTAGGGGGAGTCATTTTTTTTTAGTAACCTTGACCTCATTTGAAATTTGTTAGTCATATTTTAATTATTTATTTCCAAGTATTTTATAAACTAATTTGTTTAACCAATTAATTCTAATTGTATTAGAATTTTAAGGTAGTCTATGTGACACAAACATGATTATTTTTTATAAATGTTCCATAGGCAAAAAAGAATGCATATTTTTTACATTTATAGGTTACAAGATGTTATATTACCAAGCTTATTGATGGTATTATTTATTTATTTTATGTAATTGATCTATCATATTTTGAAATATGTGCATGTATCAATGAAAAAGAATCATTGATTGGCTTTCTCCTGTACCTGGGGAGTGAGCCAATAACCCAGGTATATGCCATGACTGGAAATAGAACAGTGACCTTCTGGTTTGTAGATTCACACTCAACCAATGAGCCACACCAGCCAGGCAATAATAGATTAATTTTTAAACACATTCTTTTTATTTTAAATTTACTTTTACTTCTATTTTTATTTTTACTTTCCTTAACTCTTTCATATTTTTCTTCATTTCCAAACTCTTTTCCTCATTTACTTCATATTTCTTATAAATAATGGGTAAAAATTTTAAAACTCACTTATATTTTACATTTACTCAAACATGAAAATATTCTAGATAGCATTTAATGTTTATTTTTCCCAGTGGTATTTCTGATAGAATTATACTCTGTATGGGCTCCTTTTATAATCAACAACATACATTTTTAATTTAGTAAGCCAATACAAGGGGTGCAGTTAGAAAATCAGAACAAGACCTAGCCAGCCAAAGTCACTAATCTCCAGTCATGTCCAGAAAAGCCTGAAGGAAAATGGTGCCATACTAATGTAAGTACACACAGGTTACAAAATCATAAAATAAATGTATTATAAGTTATATTGGAATAAAGTAACACAACACTTATTGAAACAACTTGAGAAGAAGCAACATTTAGATTTTGGTAGCCATGAATATTATGCAAGCTGCTTGCAGGTAATGAAATTTACACAGAAACCATTTTGGCAAATCATATTTTATTTATTTATGCATTTCAACCTACATCCTATTATTAATTGAATCCCAAGTACTTTATAAAGCTCCTTTATGGATAAAAATCTTTAATTAATAGGGGAAGATGTCCAAGGGCCTTAAACCTGGGAGTAGTATGATAAGGGATTTGCACCTGGGGAAGAGATTCAAATTAATTCTTATACAAGACCTAGATATTATGCTTCCATTTCCAGTTGTAAAAGCAATACTTCAAAACCACAGGGGCAAGACAATGTAAGGTTTGAGCTGATTAAACAGTAGTCAGCTATTCAATAGTGTTCTTCCTGTCCATTAGCTCATGGGGGGAAGGTGGCTACCTGTTGATTGCAACAGAGCACTCTGCAAAATATTTTCTAGAAAATATTTGCTTTGACTCTATCTTCAATAGGTCAGGGACCTCAACGCCTACATAAACTGTTGCAAAACTGCATTGAAAGTCTGTCCTTTTGAGAGATAAAGCAAATATAGCAAACAATCGGTAAAGCTAGGTGAAGGACATCAAGGTATTCATTAAACCAGTCCTGTTATTTCTCTGTAAGACTGAAATTTCTTAAAATAAAAAGTTATTGGAGAACTATCATTCAGTCAGTATACAAAATGAAAAACATATTGCTTACTGGTCACATATTAGTTGGCAAAATAAGAGAAAGGGAATAATGGTTAATATTAGTGCCAGTTAACACTTGTTATATAAGCATATGACTATCCCAGTCTAATCACTTCGGAAATAAAATACTTAATAAACAGAGGGTAATATCATGTAACTGATTGCTTTCTTACATACAAAAATAATGGTTAAGAATTCATATAAAAGATAATTATGCTAATATAAAGTTGAGGAAAGGATATAAAAGATAATTCTCAAAAAAAGATAGACAAATGATCATTAAATATTTTGAAATCTCTTACTTGCACTAGTAATTAAAATATAAAAATTAAGCAATTGTCAATATTTTAATCATAACATTTAGCATTAGTGAGGAAGAAAAAAAATAAAAAACAAATTCTGAGTGCCAAATATAAACTGATACTATTTTTCTGGAGAGTTATTTGAATGCCAAAACCCATTATTTCCTTCAGGAATTCTGCTTCCAGGAGGAAATAAACAATAATATTTATTATATATTATACATGTGTGTGTGTATGTGTAGGTGTGTGTGTGTAAAGGTCAAAGTAGAAAGATGATAACTTCAGTATCATCTTTATTAGAAAAAGTTCAAAAAAATCTCAATGTCAAATGATATATTTTTTTAAATTAGAGTGCATTCACATGATGGAATATTATATGGTCATTAAAATCATATTATAGAAAATAATAGTGTAGAAAATGATAGTATAGAAAATATGAAATAACATGGAAAATTTTCCATGACCCAATGTAATAAATTCA